GACTTTTGTCATTTTAAGCCATCTCGGTTCTATTATCGTCCGTGGAATTTTTGGCACACGGCACTCGAAAGTGAAGGCAAGCTTGGCAATAATTCTTAGTGACGCACGTGGTCCCCCAAGTGACGATTATCTGAACCGGTCCTGGGCCCTCCACTAGGTCGACTCAGCGTCAAATGAGTATCTAGTGTGGTGTGTAGTTAACATCGCTACTAGGGAGACAAAGGAGGCCGGGCGCGGTGCTGGCCACCCACCCCATCGTGTACCGTGCCGGCCTTCATAGGTGTTCACTAACAGCACTTCCCCCAACAGTCTGTTAAGGCTATACCGGGGGGGATCTTTGTCTTTGTAAGCAAATAATCCAATTGCACTCAACGTGTAATCATACAAAAATATATTTAGTCAAGAGCAAAGGTTTAGAGTCGTCCTTTCCATATACGCAGGGGTCTCTGGAAGGAGGACCCCACAAATCACGTTGCGTTTTCAAAATATTGAGCCGAAGTTTATGTATGTTGTCCTCTTTGTCGTTAATTTTTCCCTTCGTTTTCATTCATTTATGGGACGCGGGAAGATTCCTCGAGAGGAAACATCTCGAGGGAGCTCCGATTCTGATTCTGACTTCAACAATTATTTACTGCCTTTGTTCGCATGCGAAAAAAGCCATCAGCGTTTCCTGGAGAAGTGAATTGCGGTTCCTCTTGCCTGAGGCCATGACAATAAAAATTTAGCAAAATGTGACCAACTAACAGTAGTATCTCCTCCTCCGCCTCCAATAAATGATCTGAATGCCACACGGTGCGGATGATGCATTGTTTTTACAGCCGCAGGCTCTGAGAATAGCTTTGTGGCTATGTCGAATGTCATTAACCAAACCTTGACACCCTGCGCTTTCATAGCTACTATAATCACCCAGGAATGTCTGTCCTTAACGCTCGTGACGTCACTCAACATCGACCAGCCCCCCTCATTAATAATCATGAGCAGGTGACATCACTCCACATCGAACAGCCCCCCTCAATAATCATTACAAGCTGACGTCCTCCAAATGGAAACCCCCCCCCCCCATTCATAATAATTAGCGGGCGACGTCACTCCACATGGGGGGGGGGCGAGGCGCCTCCTCCCCCCTCCTCGGCGTCAACTCACAACCCTCACTACAAAGGCAGAACCCACACGTCACGTGATCTCCGTAACGCTGTTGAGACATCAAAGTAGAAAGGACGTCATGATGAACAAGGGGTCATAACCTTAAAATGAAATAGGTCTGTGTCACCGCGGCCTTACAAATTGCACACGAATTGATGCAATGAATATATCACGTCACGCTCTGCTTTTCGCTTGCAAGTTTCAGATTTACTGCAATACACCCGTCCTTGGACGGGCAAAAGGCTAGTAATGTATTCATTAGCAGCAGCTACCGGCTGTAATCTATCCTGTCATTGTTGTTGTAACGTTTTAACCCGCCCTTACTGGACATCTGTGAAAAAGAGCTGTATAGTTAATCGGATTCCTCCAGTATATACATGTTCTGATTCTGACAAGAGTGGCAAGCAAATCGATATTAAGACAAATTATTTAGTGATACCGCCTTGACAGTGGCGTACAAGCACAATTAATAAAAAAACTGCAACACATTGATCAATTAAAAAAACTACAATAAAAAAATGAAATGGCCCTACTTCATAGCATGTAAATATAGAGACAACGAGAGCTAGAGTGGATACTAAGAGGCGGAAACAGCACTTTACACAATAGAGCCCGATGAGATTTTTCAAAATATTTTATTTAGGATATGAATAGTTACCAAATAGTACCGAGTGAAAAACAGACAAAAAAGTGTCATTAAATAGATTACTTTAGATTAAAAGTTAATTTACAAAATATTGCTGGCAACGTGAGTAGAGACACCAGATGATTAACAAGAATGGAGTGGTAATTTCTAAAACGATGAAATTACCTAAATTATTTTAAAGTGATGCTTTCACAAATCCAAGGGGAAAGGCAAATTATCACTGAAGCCATTCCGTTTTACTTTCGGGGAACAGAGGAGCCCACTGCTGCTGAATAATTATGAGTAATCACGTGAAACGTCGCACAATGTTCCACACATTTAAACAAAATCAAATTGACATACAAAAACTTATTTTAAAATCTGAAACATCTTAAGTGATGGTGCTGCGGTGGTGGGAAAGTTGTCGACTTTTGGTGGCAAGACTGCTTTGCAACTATACTGATACATCAAAGACATCATTTCAAATAGTATTCTTAAACTGCGCTTTCGTAATCCAGAGACTTTAGCGGCACGGTTGATGCAATTCACAGAGAGAAGAACAGTTGTGCGCATCGCAAGGAAGTGCAGAACAACAACACAGTATATAATGCAGTTTGTATTTATAAAGCACCTGTTGACAATTGACTGTTTAAGGACGCTGCACAAGAGCAGTGTGACACGCGCGTCATGTAAACTGCAATGCATGCTGCACTGCAGCAGTTCTCAAACTGGGGTCCGCAGATCACTGCTGGTCCATTCAGGTGTAACACTGTGGCGAGATGTTAACTGCCTCGCCTGGTATACGGAAGATCGTGGGTTCAATCCCGGCCCTGACGCCTGTATATTTGGAGTTTGCGAGCCTCTCTCTCCCCGTGATCGCGTGGATTTTTTTCTGCGGGTCGTCCGGTTTTTCCTTCCACATTTAGAAACACGCGCTTAGAGTATTTGGCTGCTACAGTGAGTGAAAAAAGTATTTGATCCCCTGCTTATTTTGTACGTTTGCCCACTGACAAAGAAATTATCAGTCTATAATTTTAATGGTAGGTTTATTTGAACAGTGAGAGACAGAATAACAACAACAAAATCCAGAAAAACGCATGTCAAAAATGTTATAAATGTATTTGCATTTTAATGAAGGAATTAAGTATTTGACCCCTCTGCAAAACATGACTTAGTACTTGGTGGCAAAACCCTTGTTGGCAATCACAGAGGTCAGACGTTTCTTGTAGTTGGCAACCAGGTTTGCACACATATCAGGAGGGATTTTGTCCCACTCCTCTTTGCAGATCTTCTCCAAGTCATTAAGGTTTCGAGGCTGACGTTTGGCAAATCGAACCTTCAGCTCCCTCCACAGATATTCTATGGGATTAAGGTCTGGAGACTGGCTAGGCCACTCCAGGACCTTAATGTGCTTCTTCTTGAGCCACTCCTTTGTTGCATTGGCCGTGTGTTTTGGGTCATTGTCATGCTGGAATACTCATCCACGACCCATTTTCAATGCCCTGGCTGAGGGAAGGAGGTTCTCACCCAAGATTTGACGGTACATGGCCCCGTCCATCGTCCATTTGATGCGGTGAAGTTGTCCTGTCCCCTTAGCAGAAAAACACCCCCAAAGCATAATGTTTCCACTTCTATGTTTGACGGTGGGGATGGTGTTCTTGGGGTCATAGGCAGCATTACTCCTCCTCCAAACACGGCGAGTTGAGTTGATGCCAAAGAGCTCCATTTTGGTCTCATCTGACCACAGCACTTTCACCCAGTTGTCCTCTGAATCATTCAGATGTTCATTGGCAAACTTCAGACGGGCGTGTATATGGGCTTTCTTGAGCAAGGGGACCTTGCGGGCGCTGCAGGATTTCAGTCTTTCACGGCGTAGTGTGTTAACAATTATTTTCTTGGAGACTATGGTCCCAGCTGCCTTGAGATCATTGACAAGATCCTCCCGTGTAGTTCTGGGCTGATTCATCACCGTTCTCATTATCATTGCAACTCCACGAGGTGAGATCTTGCATGGAGCCCCAGGCCGAGGGAGATTGACAGTTCTTTTGTGTTTCTTCCATTTGCGAATAATCGCACCAACTGTTGTCACCTTCTCACCAAGCTGCTTGGCAATGGTCTTGTAGCCCATTCCAGCCTTGTGTATGTCTCCAATCTTGTCCCTGACATCCTTGAAGAGCTCTTTGGTCTTGGCCATGGTGGAGAGTTTGGAATCTGATTGATTGATTGCTTCTGTGGACAGGTGTCTTTTATACAGGTAACAAGCTGAGATTAGGAACACTCCCTTTAAGAGTGTGCTCCTAATCTTAGCTCGTTATCTGTATAAAAGACACCTGGGAGCCAGAAATATTTCTGATTGAGAGGGGCTCAAATACTTATTTCCCTCATTAAAATGCAAATCAATTTATAACATTTTTGACATGCGTTTTTCTGGATTTTTTGGTTGTTATTCTGTCTCTCACTGTTCAAATAAACCTACCATTAAAATTATAGACTGATCATTTCTTTGTCAGTGGGCAAACGTACAAAATCAGCAGGGGATGGAATACTTATTTCCCTCACTGTATAAATATCCACACGATGATACGCCATGCCGTTGAGTGATCACTTGTGGCCATGGAAACGAAGTGGCCGTTAGTTTATATATCCTATATAAAGTATAGGATTTAAATACCAATAGATGGTTATGAGAACTATTGTAACGTAGAGTGTTGGAATCAATATTACAGCAGATATTCGAAATAATTATTTTGAACTTTATTTCACATTCTCGTAGCATAACGGATCCTCAGCTCACGTGACTTGCTTTCCATCATTGGCATGTCGACAATACTGAACCAGAATCCAACGTGATTGCTAAAAATAAAAATGTGCAGTTAGTGCGAGTAGGCTACTAGCAGTGTTCTGATAGGCAACCGTCACGCATCCAACAGACTTTGACTTTCAAACCACTTTGATCGTTGCCAGCAGCAATGGCACTGGAGCCGATTTCGATACAAAGCCAGCTTGGGGAAAAAAAAAATACGTCGCAAACAAAAAAAACCCACGACAAACACAAACGACCTCGCCGTCGCGCACGCAACGCGCGACGCATGAGCTCGCTCGAAGGTGAAATGCAGAACGCCGTTGGCCCTGCTGTAGAGGGCTTGACCTTCCCACCCCCGACCGCCCCCCTTCAGCGTTCCAAGAACAACGCGCGCGTCACAGACACTCGGAGTGGTAAGCGTACTCCTACCGGAGCGGCGTCTCGAGCTGGCCCCTGAAGACTGACGCCGCAGAGCAGCCGTCGGTGTCGCCTTTGCAGCAGCAGCAGCATCATCTTTTTGTTCCTCGTCCTGTGAACTGCCACCTTCGCTTGGGCACAGACGAAGTTTGCACAAAACAAGTACCGATACGCGGCGTGAAGCTTGGGTCAAAACAACCCCCACGACCCAGGGGGGAGGAGGCCTGATTTTGGCTGAAGGGAATTGTAATTTGAAGGGGGTGCCGCGGTGGCGAGAAGACGTTCACTCTCTCGCCTGCTATGCAGGGATACGTGGGTTCGATCCCGACCCTGGCGATGCCGGTATATTTAGAGTGTGCATGTTCTCTCTCCCTCTCTCTCTCTGCCCGTGGTCGCGTGGATTTTTCCCTGGGCTCTCTGGTTTTTCCTTCCATATTTAAAAGCAGCACGCGTTCGGAATATTTGGCTGCCACAAATGTCCATTTGACAAGCCACTTCGTTGAGCTATCATGTGTGGTCAGGTCGCTTCCGACAAATAGCTACATAGTTTAGTGGGCCTTACCTGGTAAAATAAATTTTAAAAAATAGCTTAAAACCGGTCCTAGGCCACCCCTAGGTCGACTCAGCCTCAAATGCGTACCTGGTGCAATGTGTAAACATCACCACGAGGGAAACAAAGGCGGCCAGACATGGTGCTGGTCACACTACCCCCTCGTGTGCCTGTGCCAATTTCTCTAGGTGCTCGCTAACAGCACAGTCTGTTAAGGCTGTACGAGAGATCTTTGTATTTGGTTGTGCCTGGTGTAATGTGTTCCTATGCTCGCGTGAGTTATGACCACATTACTTAAATAGGACCACGGCTTCACCTGTTATTCAGACTGTGCCATGAAAATACATACTCTCTCATCCCCTCGGGACAATTACCCAAGGAACTGAAACACGATGATAGATCACTGCCAGCCGTCCTGCATTTCCAATTCTCACGCACCGGCCGGCTAGAGACTCACAAAATAAAGCTGAAATCTCCCAGACGTTATTGTTCCTGTGTAACTCTTTGTACATCAGGTGGTAAGATTGGTGTGAAATTGTTTTCAAATAATCGATCTAGGTGGTGGGGGGGTTATGTTATTTGTTCGCACAAGTCAGTGAACGAAAGTTTGATCCTCTTCAAATCAATATTTTTTTGTCTAGGCTTGTTGTGTACCCTCTCTCAATGGATACCACGAGGGTTAGGGTGAGATAATGGTGCCTTCATACGCGACATTTTTACGTGCGCTGAATTTTGTTTATGAAAGTATGTTTAAAAATAAACCACTGACCGACAGGACGCGAGAAAGCTTTCATCCATTGGTTGAATAAGAATGTCTGGAATGTTATGTTACATTGTTCATGTTATACTTGAATGAATGTTAGTGGTGCAGTGGTGTGTACCCTATACATACTTGGTAACACATTATCTGAGTTGAATTCTCGGCCAAAGCTCACATAAATGGCGAATGATATCAAAACTATTAATGGGTCCCCTCTTATGAACCTGCAATGGCCAGAATAGTGGAGTATGACTAAACAACTTCCATAACCCATGTGGAGGAGGGATCTTCGTCAAGCAAAGGATCACCAAAGGGATTAATATTGTGGATTTATTTTCTAGATCTAGTATATGGTAAAGTATGTCACTTATCGTCTGTGTGTTGTGTATACATTGTACACGGGGAATTGATTTCCCTCCTTGTATTCATCCCTTGCTTGGAATTACATTCAGAGACAGAAAGCAGAGCACGTGCATTAGAGAACATACGCCGGTTAAATGCATAATTCAAAACTGTTTAGATAAGTGAGCTTAGGCAGGCCATGGTCGCTATAATGAATGACGGCGGGTGGATGAGACAAACAATGGAATAACAGCCGAAGGAAGGTTATAAATATTCATCGAAACACAGATGAGTAACTTAGCCTTATTCAGTGACCTCTCACCCAGTTACAATAAATGTCTGCCTACCTAGCCAACTGTTTAAACACAGTACGGTACGGTATGACATGGGGGGACCATTTAAACACCCCACTGCCAGCCTCCTTCGACAGCACCTCTCTCAGCTGGCTATAAAATGTTTTACGAAAGGGTGTTAGCAACGAGAAGAGTTACTTGTTCTATTCCAAAGCCAACGTCTTTGTGATTTTAAGTAAGAAATCATGCGTAATACCTGGAATTCCCGTGATTTTAGGCACCACGGTGGCTAGGAGGTGTTAAATACCTCGCCTGTTATACAGGAGGTCGTGGGCTCGATCCCGACCATGACGCCTGCTACTGTATATTTGTAGTTTGGATGTCTCTCTCTCATCATCATCACGTTGGCGAAGAGATGTTAACTTCCTCGCCTGGTATACAGGAGTTCGTGGCTTCAATCCCGACCTTGACGCCTGCTGTATAATTTGAGTTTGCATGTCTCTCTCCCCGTGGTCGCGTGGATTTTTCTCTGGGTCCTCCGGGTTTTCCCTCTATATTTAGAAACGTGCTATAAATTTCCAGATGATAAGCCACTTCGTTGAGCAATCATTTGTGGCCAGGTCGCTTCTGCAATAGAGCTACATAACTCAGTGGGCCTTTCTCCATACGTTGTCACTAAATGGCATGATCAAATGTCACATGACCAAAGATTTTGACACCCTTGCACAACCGCACGAGAAGCACAACTGAACGAGCTGCTTTATGGGCTTTTATTTTATATTCCTATGAAGGTATCACAAAAAATAAGTGAAAGCAATAGTGGAATGATGCTGCAGTATAGTAAGGACCGTAGGAATCATGGCAACATTTACAAATGTGTGGAACGGCTGTAATTTGAAAGTGAACGTACGTGTTATGTTGACAGCAACGTGGACAAACGGCTGCTTCCGCTCCAGGCAACATTTCTCGCGTCGACAGATTGATTTTATAAAAGAGGTGAGTAAGGAGTCAGCACGGATCAGTGGTAATGAGGATGAGTGTGAGCCCACGTTGTTCAATAATCCATGATAAGTAGAATTTTCTGTAAAGTGCGTGCCCACATGGTGGTAAAAAAATGCGAACAGAAGTCCAAAACGCAACAAACATCTAGCGTTCGTCAAACCCTACAGTGAGGGAAAAAGTATTTGATCCCCTGCTGATTTTGTACGTTTGCCCACTGACAAAGAAATGATCAGACTATAATTTTAATGGTAGGTTTATTTGAACAGTGAGAGACAGAATAACAACGAAAAAATCCAGAAAAACGCATGTCAAAAATGTTAGTAATTTATTTGCATTTTAATGAGGGAAATAAGTATTTGACCCCTCTGCAAAACATGACTTAGTACTTGCTGGCAAAACCCTTGTTGGCAATCACAGATGTCAGACGTTTCTTGTAGTTGGCCACCAGGTTTGCACGCACCTCAGGAGGGATTTTGTCCCACTCCTCTTTGCAGATCTTCTCCAAGTCATTAAGGTTTCGAGGCTGACGTTTGGCAACTCGAACCTTCAGCTCCCTCCACATTATTTATATGGGATTAAGGTCTGGAGCAGGGGTGGGCAAATTTTTTGACTCGCGGGCCACAATGGGTTCTAAAATTTGACAGAGGGCCCGGGCCAGGAACAGATGGATGGAGTGTTTGTGTGAACTAATATAAAGGACATGTAAAAATCATTACATGAAAGGAGTTGGCCTTTAACAGGTAGCAAAGCATTTATTTGCAAGGCAATTTAACAAATTGCACGAACATGAACAATACAAAACATGTAGTAACTCCCGGTCAAAGTGCGCCAACTAATGGGGAAATGGGAGCATTACAGGAGAAAGGGAAAATTGTATTTAATAATAATATTTGGACAAGTTCGGCGGGCCGGATTAAAAAGCCCAACGGGCCGTATACGGCCCGGGGGCCGTACTTTGCCCAAGTCTGGTCTGGAGACTGGCTAGACCACTCCAGGACCTTAATGTGCTTCTTCTTGAGCGACTCCTTTGTTGCCTTGGCCGTGTGTTTTGGGTCATTGTCATGCTGGAATACCCATCCACGACCCATTTTCAATGCCCTGGCTGAGGGAAGGAGGTTCTCACCCAAGATTTGACGGTACATGGCCCTGTCCATCGTCCCTTTGATGCGGTGAAGTTGTCCTGTCCCCTTAGCAGAAAAACACCCCCACAGCATGTTTCCACCTCCATGTTTGACGGTGGGGATGGTGTTCTTGGAGTCATAGGCAACATTCCTCCTCATCCAAACACGGCGAGTTGAGTTGATGCCAAAGAGCCCAATTTTGGTCTCATCTGACCACAACACTTTCACCCAGTTGTCCTCTGAATCATTCAGATGTTCATTGGCAAACTTCAGACCGGCATATATATGTGCTTTTTTGAGCAGGGGGACCTTGCAGGCGCTGCAGGATTTCAGTCCTTCACGGCGTAGTGTGTTACCAATTGTTTTCTTGGTGACTATGGTCCCAGCTGCCTTGAGATCATTGACAAGATCCTCCCGTGTAGTTCTGGGCTGATTCCTCACCGTTCTCATGATCATTGCAACTCCACGAGGTGAGATCTTGCATGGAGCCCCAGGCCGAGGGAGATTGACAGTTCTTTTATGTTTCTTCCATTTGCCAATAATCGCACCAACTGTTGACACCTTCTCACCAAGCTGCTTGGCAATGGTCTTGTAGCCCATTCCAGCCTTGTGTAGGTCTACAATCTTGTCCCTGACATCCTTGGATAGCTCTTTGGTCTTGGCCATGGTGGAGAGTTTGGAATCTGATTGATTGATTGCTTCTGTGGACAGGTGTCTCTTATACAGGTAACAAGCTGAGATTAGGAGCACTCCCTTTAAGAGTGTGCTCCTAATCTCAGCTCGTTACCCGTGTAAAAGACACCTGGGAGCCAGAAATCTTTCTGATTGAGAGGGGATCAAATACTTATTTCCCTCATTAAAATGCACATCAATTTATAACATTTTTGACATGCGTTTTTCTGGATTTTGTTGTTATTCTGTCTCTCACTGTTCAAATAAACCTACCATTAAAATTATAGTCTGATCATTTCTTTGTCAGTGGGCAAACGTACAAAATCAGCAGGGGATCAAATACTTTTTTTCCCTCACTGTATCAGCCACATTCCTACGTGAAGGAGACATTTTTATTCCGCATAATTATTGCCAATAAAACTTGCATCCATCTCTATGAGCTGAAAATTAGGTGCCAGAGCAATGACTGGAAACTCCTCAGTACTCCAGTAAACATTTCATTACAGATATTCCCCCCCCCCCCCCCCGCCCCCACCAGAAACCTAACGATGACATATTTTGG